TCAACGAAAGTTGTGAGTAATCTTATGTATCTGGGGGGAGGGGGGGGGGGGGACAGCCAAATGGGAATACCATCAGGGAAGATGAAATACTCGTTAAAGTTCTCAAACTGTCTGAAAAATTTATTAAACTAAGAGAAAGAGATAATCTCATTTGACCTATAACATGCTGGTTATATCTTATAATGTCTTTTTTTTGTTTAAATTTTCAAATTATGTATGAGTTGTTGTAAAGGACTACATATCTGCTTCTCTCGTTAAACATTGTATTTTATGTATGCTCCTGGGATGTAACTTCGATATCGTTCTGCATAAATTAGTTATAAGATGGAGCTTTGACTCCATGCTCTTCAACAACGTTAGAGCTTCAAAAGGTTTATTAACATAGGTGAGACTTTCGTTAACAAAAAGCAATTTCTAATATCGCAAAGAAGGGAAACATGGTGTATATGGGACTTGCGGGTCAATACTTCTCGGAGCTGGATCCAAATTTCAATGGCCCTCCTAGAGCAGTCGATCCAGCAGTCCGTGCTCGCAAACTTGTAAGTAACACATTTGCACAAGCAAAGTTCATTTAATTATGCAGTAATTGACGTAATGTAATGAAACGGTGGCATTATAGTGTTTCATAATGTTTGGCTTAATGGACCTCTTTTATTAAATAAATATATTTACAGACGAGACATCATAAATTTTTTAATCGATTATTATTTTACCCATTACATCATTATTGAAAGTTTTATATAATAATAATGCTAAAATACTTCTTAATGAAAATTTAATTTTAATCCGTCTTATACATCTCAAATATCAACGTTAAACTGATGTGTTTTATTTATAAATATGTATGAATGATAAAACTTACATTTTTTTAAGTTTAATTCATTAAAACTTTACATTTTAAAAGCTTTTTATCTGCTGAAAACTATTACACCGACATTTTCGCTCACTTTTCTTATTGATCCGAACATACAAAACAAGAAAGAAACTTTTTTTCTATCTCATAGAGAAGATATTTTAATCAAAAATAAATAATTAACTTATGATAAAAGTTTATTTTTGGATGAGTTTATGTTAACGATATTTAAAGTACAACGAAAACTTTTTCCATTACATGAAATTGAAAGCATTTATAAGGCGCTTTGTGATGTTACACTCGAGCATTAAGAATTATTATGAAACTTAATGCATATGTAATAAGTTCTCCAGAACGTAATACCATCTTTTTTTGATCAAACAGTCTTTAGTGTATATTTTAATATACGAAGTTTCTGACATTGATTATGGATGGTTTCTACATTTCAGTCTCTTTACAATCTGTATGAATAAATCCTTAACGTATAAATCCTTAACGTATAAAGCCATGCGATTTTTATACTTTTTATTGCATAACATAATGCAATTTTCAATATGTAAACCACGTTGCAGCATTTATCGTAATCCGCGGTAGTGTAATTTTCAACAACAAAACGAGTTGTGTGCTTAATCCTTTGCATTCACACATTTAATATATATATAATCCTCTTTGTTCAATTCAAGTGGACATTTTATTCTATATAACTTCTTTTCACTACATGGGAAGTTTTTCATACTGTTATTTACACCTTTTTTTATCAAGAAAATGAAATTTTATCTATATATGGATCTATTTTTTTCCTATTAAAAAAAAAATCAAGAATATAAATCAAGAATTTATGAAAATATTTAAAATCTAAAATTATTCCATATTATAGAATATGCATTTTCACTTTTGAATTTTTATTATAAAAAAATAAATTCAAAAAAGTTTATAAAAGTTTTTTTTATGCTAAAATAATCAAACACTTCTAATATATATATATGACCATATATTGTATAACATAATACTAACTTATCGTTGCGATACAATTGCCGTATTAGCCGCAGGACATCCTGTATAATTCATCGGCTTTTAACGGACGAAAATGTCAATTGTGTATTGTGCGCATTTAAAATTGCCTGAAAGCCATCGTTGATTAGTCACGCATGATTGTACTGTATTTTCTGCGTTCGCAACTGATCGTTTTGTCGACTGATAATCGCATTTCGATGGGATGCGTGACGTAATGGATTTAAATAGTACCTCTTCTGTGAGTGAACTGCTTTTCATTCCGCGATGCGGCTTCGTCGCATTTGCTACTAAAACATGACCTGAACGTTAATGAGGTAGTGCTGTATTGCATTATTACCGCATATCTTTTCCCTGTATTCAACATTTGTCAATATTTCTGCAAGGAGTAGAGCTTAATTTATATAAATTTATATTTATTATGTAAATGTGGTGTGTAGTCAAAAGAAAAAGACATTGATCATATATATTTTATCATAACTTCTGGGGATAGGGGAGAAAACGTGTTTGATCTCGACGCTGAGGATTTATATTGCGTGAATCGAGAACGCTCGTCATACGTTTAGTAGCACGTTAGCGTAACTTAAAAAGCATACATTACAAAGAGGGCCATAACATGTCACATTCTTAAGATATAGGAGTTGCTCGTTTTAATCTATGGTTTTTATCCTATCGTTGTGAATATAATGTGTATAAATTATAGACATGTGAAATACGAGCGAGACAGTATCCCGAGAGGAGACATTGAGTTTCTAACTATACATTAATTTTGTACATAATTATGTTGTCGGGAAAATTGCAGATGCTATTTCAAATTTTGCAGAATCAAATCGATACAGTAACATTTCCCATTCAGAGCGCTTAAATAATTAATGGCGAAATCTTGAAGCTTTCCTCTAGAATGCTTTGTACTTTTTTGTATTCATGTCATCTGCTTAAAGAGATAAAGCGAAACTAATTTATGGAGTAGTTACTAACGAGAACCGAGACTATATTTTGATTCTACCGTGTAAAGGGATGAACATATCTCTTGAATATATAATGGTATTTAATTCTAAGAGTGATGAAATCATCTTAGACAAAATCATTCATTTTGGATTAGAGGAGAAAATTTACTCATTAATTAAGGTTATTTTTATCGTGTATATAACGAGAAGATTATTAATATGCTTATAGTAATTTATTATAGATTTCAAAAGTATGCTTAATAAGAGAACTTTCGTTGTAACATTAGAACTATAAAGCAATCAAACTAATTTGTAATTTTCATTCTAAATTTTACTTAAATTTATAACAGTGCGATTTCTGAAATTTGCTGATACTTTTATTGAAATGTGTAAAATTAATTTTTCTCCTTTATACTTTTACTTTCATACTTTTTTTCAAAGATAATAAATTAGTGAGTATAAAAAGGATATGTGAGTCTTTCTTGTCAAACTTTTTAATATTAATAAAAAATTGTTTTAATTTCATTGAAAAAAACTGATAAAATTATTTTTGAGAATTTAAATACATTCAATATTTTTGACATTTCTGATTTCTAAAATGATTATTTACATTAAAAAAAAGAGCTTAATAACAGTTCTGATTGAAAAGAAACAAATCAGAATTTTTTGGTTGACTTCATTATAATTTTAGCTGAGATAATCAGAATTTTGATATGATCAGAAACTTCTGATTTGTCTGTTTTCAATCAGAATTTTTCTTCAATATATTAAATTAAAAATTTTTCACTTATATTCTTTCTACACTCATTGTTAACAAAAAAAATTTTATAGTGTGCTACAGATACTTATTTTATTTTCAAAAATATCAAATCTATGGTAAACTATAATATTTCTGATATAAGAAATCATCTTGTATTGAATAAAATTCCAAAATATAATACAAAATCTTTGAAATTATATTATCATTTTGCTTGAAAACTATAAAGAATTTAATATTTAAATAAAAGGGCAATTCTTTTCCCACTCATTTTCAACGTCTTTAGGTGCTTAGCTTGAAACAAGTAACCTATTTGCATTCAAAGCGTATTTTAGATTAATAAGAAAAAAAGCTTATTTTCGAATAAAAATGAACTCATATCCTTTCTATATTTATCGATTTAAATATGATATATTTAATAGAAACTAATCTAATGATGAGTGAATAATTTGAAAGTGTGAGACATTAACATTTTTTATCATTTTTGCATTGATGTATTGACATAAAAAAACCCGCCATATTGACATGCTATAATGTACAGATCAAGATAATGGCATTCAGGAGTGCCCCAATCAATCGGGTATCTTTCGATCGAAACATATGTGAGTCCTTTTATCTTGTATATGGCCTATCTACGCCATGGCCAAGGTTTAGCCGAAATAGTTTGCGCGCGTGCACGTGTAGATACCACAAATTGCTAAGGCTGAATCTCATTCGTGCATGGAATGACAGGATGGTTTGGGTTCATGGGCGTAACATCTAACGCGATACCTCCTTTGACTATTGAGTCTGAGGGACTGCATGTATAGTTCCGTTGTTAAGGTGTACTCCGTATTGACCGGGCTCGCCTTGGCTGCAGCGGACTTGTAGCACCACTCGTACGTGCGAAGTCTGCAAATGAATTTTTCGGACGTGCCCGGCTATACCGGGTTTTGTCATTGGAATGAAAGATATACTCTCGTTGTCGCAAGAAGACATTCTTAAGACACTTTCTTTCTTTCTCTCTTTCTTTCTTTCTTTTGAAAAAAAATCCCGCGTCTTTATGTTCGTTGAGTTTACGGCGTCGTTTCTTTTTATAAGGTTGATAATGCTCCTGTCTTTTATACATCGCGTACGAACGGTAACATCTCGTTACTTTTTATTCACGAAATTTACAGCAACGATCGTAAAAGACGACAGATTGTTTCGCGTCTTGAATGTGAGTTACGAGACTTAGGCCCAGTTCTAGAATTGGAAATAAATAAGAAATAAATTGAACCTCGGTTCAAGAGTTAACCGTGAATTGTGGAACTGGGCCTTAATCGTTTATTTCGATCTGTTAGGTTGCCTTTCGTGTCTCAAGGGAGTGATACAGACGAAGGGAATGATACAGACACGAATGATGTAAATGTGTCCGTCTCTCAATCGATTTGCGCTTCCTTATGCATTCCAGGTGGGCATGGAACGCCGTGACGTCATACTGACAGCAGTTTTCGGAACAGTCGGTGCTCTCGCAATTCTAGTAGGACTCGCATTAGCAATGTGGCTCTATCTACGCGCCAGGAAGTCCAAGCAACGAGATGACGATCTCGAGGACCAAAATGATAATGGCGACGCTTCGAGCCAACAACAATCTACTAAGAAAAATGGTTTTCTGAATCTAAAGACACCTCTAATCAGCACGAAGGCTCTTGGGTAAGTGCGAATTTTTCTTTTTTATTAAAATAATTGAGCAGTTAATGTTACGATCCAGCTCTGAATTTAGTCTATTTTCCATACAAATATATTCTTTCAAAGAAATTTTGAATTACTATAACGAGATATATACAGATATCTTTTATATTTTTTGTCTTTATTTATCTTTTCTTTTATATATGGCAGTCACCAGTGGCGATACAATATTTCAAAGTTTACGTAAGAATAAATGAATACATTTTACGTTGACTTTAACGAAAAGTAAACAAACTACAATCATTATGCGTTTGTTATTTTTATTCGCTCGCAAGTTTGTCGCTGTTGACATTGTTCTGAATCACTTGAAGATACCACAATATATTTGTAACTTGACAAAGAGTATCATTAATCTTGAGCTCTTCTTACGAATAACTAAGAACGTTATTTATTCTATTTTATCGCATAAAATCGAGTACCTTCATTGTGACATTCGTTTTATTAAACGAAGATAAAATAATATTTTATAGCGACGTAGCGATGCTATTGAAGACAATTTCGTGTTTATTCTCTCGCACAATGAGTGCGTGGTTTATCGTCGAACGTTTTCTCTGCGCGAAGCTCGTAGATCGCTTCATTATTGTCTGAGCAACGAACGGCAATTCTACGTACAGTAGGACAACCAAATATTAGTTAGACGGTCAGAGGGTTTAAGTATCAACAGCGGAATTGTCCGTCGGTAAGTTCGTTTTACCGGTAAAAGCGTTATCGACGATAGAATTTCGCTGTGAGAGATCTTCCGTTTCTCAAGCCTGAATAACGGAAACCTGCAAAATTTTGTTGTACCAGCAGAACGTTATTGATGAACATTATCGTTTATATCGCCGAATGATATTCGATGTTCGTAACGAGGATTATTCATTATGGGTTATTTATTACTATCTCTAGCCGAGTAATCAAGAGGTCCCAATTCGTTGCGTATATTGCTTAGTATGGCAAAGCCAAAGCAAAACTTGACACTATTACCAGGTAACGTTTGCTTTGAAATATTATTTGATTCTGTGAATTTCTGATTATTACGTAACTTTACGAATTATGTGCTGAGATAAAGCATACATTTGAAACTCACTATTAAACAGCATATTGTAATTATCTTGTCTTTTATAATCTGTGAACTATGTAAAGTATACACATTTTTGGCAAAATTGTTTGACATTTTAGAGAACGTTTTATTTTTAGGGAAGTTAATTATTTAGTACAACAATTTTGTTGACGTTCGTATTATACAGTTAATACACTATTAACTCTGTGCTTTATTTTTGATAACGGACTATGTCTGTTGAAGCAATTAAGAAATTTAAATATTGACGTTTGCTCAAAGATTTTTAATTACACAAATCTATTCTATTAATCGCACAAATATATTCTTGGATTGATCAAATTTACTGATATTAGATTATGCTTCGTAAGATCATTTTAGTCGATTTAAGATTCGTAGAATCTTAAACTAGATTTCAGACTATTTGTAATCTTATGTGCATTTTAGAATATGAGTCTACATTTTAATATACATTTTACATTGCATTTTGATTCTTTTAATTTTTTATTATATAAAATCGTAATAGATTTTGAATTCTAATATAAATCGTTTAAAATAAATTTTAATCAAATCTTTTAAATTTAAAACTCCACTTAGACGATCTATAATTCATGTCAGAAATTAAGATAAAATTCTGTTTATAATTTTTATATGCTGTGTGATATATATTGGCCCGAAAGTTCGTGCCGATTTTGAAGGAAAATTGAAACGCAGAAGAATTTAAATTTTAGTATATTTTTATTAAATTTAAATCTTTTGCGGCACGAATTTTCCGAACAACCCAATATAAAAATATTTTGAAGGATTATATCACACACACACACGCACGCACGCACACACACGCGCGCACACACGCACACACGTGCTTACGTTAAAATGTACACATATATCAAAATAGACGGCATTAAACGAGTTTTGTGCAAATAATTCTTCGAAACTGTGTGTACCAAGATTGCGCACATTTATTTTCGACATTCACTGCGTACATGATGCTTTTCTCTTATATAATCTGTTAACATGTTTTTGATGTGGTTATTTAAACGCTGCTTAGCGTTTAGCGAGACATTACTAGTCTCCTGATATGCGCAGTTTTAAATAGTTGATAATATCCAAACAAGAGTGATAATTTTGTTGACATTTCTATTACAATGTCATTAATCTTGTGGTTTATTTTTTTGAAGACTATATACACGTTACTGTCTGTTGAAGATATTAAAACATTTAATCTTTAATACATACGATGATTTATTTCCTTTACTATTGTACTCATCATGAATTATTTGTGTTCCGGATTAATTTTTATTATTTTTACGAGTATACAACAATTATTAAGTGATTATTTCATACATTTTAACGTCTTTAGAAAGTATTTATAAAATTGTAAATTAAACATGAAGGAAAGGATTATTTAGTACTAGGTGCTCCTAGTATTTCAAAGAAAAAAATACTCAGGATATGAATAATCCATATTAAGGATTTAATATTAGGTTAGAATTTTTAATTGGTCGACCAATGCTAAGTTAATATTGAACTCAATGTTGTCATAATATTACGTTTACTTCTAAACATGGCCCAATTAAAAAAAATTGTATAATACAATATAAACGTAATTGCGAACTATAAAGAGAGACTAATAATTTGGCTAACTAACATTTTAACAACATATTTTTTTCTTAAATAATTTTTAAGAGATTTAAATATAATATAATAGTTCGAAATTCGATTATAATGTAAATTTCATTAATTTTACTTTTCAACGGTCAGCTATCAATTAGAGATATTAAGGAATTTAAATATTAGTATTTGCTCGAAAGCTTTTACTTGCGCAAGTCTATCCCTCCATTGTAGATTGACAGTCCTTTGTAATTCCATCTCTTGATGGGCATTTGGCTGAACTCTTTAAATAGAACTGGACCCCTCTCGACATTTATATGAAGTAGCTAGAACAATCGTTTGCAAACCATTCACGTAACGTGCTTTTCATGACTACTTCAACTGATGTTCCTCTGTTTATATTTTTCTCCGTTAGATATAAGATACGCGTGATATTGTCAAATGCGTGCGTAACCGTGATGATTGACAAGAACAGACTTTCTATTAGACTTTCTGTATAGTATTGCATTGAATAACGATAAACTATTCTCCGATTTTCAAACGAACAAAAAACTGTTCAATGAATATCTCGATATCCACAGAAATGATCGACATTTTTCAACGGTATATTAAAACATTTTTAATCGGTTATCTCACAACAAAATAGCGATGATTGAAACTTCATTTCTTCTATCACTTACACATATCTCAATAATAAATTTGTAAAATAAATAAGTGTTTAAAATTTTTACTGGTTTACATACGGAAATGGAAATGCAGGAGAAAACGAACAAAATTTATTATTTTTTTTTTCTACTAGTTTGTTTTTCTTGTACAGAGAGAGAGAGAGAAGAGGAAAGGGGAGGGGGGGGAGGGAGAGAAGGTGGGAGGGGGGGGAGAGAGAGAGAGAGAGAGAGAGAGAGAGAGAGAGAGAGCGTGCTCTTTTACATCAGTGCTGTAAACGCGTGGAATATTTATATTTTCACGAGAGAAGCAGTATATACGCACAAAAAAAATCATAAAATTGTCGCAATCTGCATATACATTCGGTTTTATGTCAAATATCAATGAGAGAGTATTAAACGTGGAAATAGAGACAGTAATCCATTCTAATCGTATTGGCGATTCGATTATCAAGAAATTTGCATGCGATTTGGTCCGGGAAACGAGTAACTGCGGAATTTTCCATGACAGAAGGTAAAAACAATGGATGTAGCAATATACAATTTTCAATGGCTGTCGAGATTGTGGCCCCAAGTGTATGCACGTTTTAGAAATGCGTTGTGACGTTTATTCTCATGCTTTCCAATATAAATCGCGATGGAACAAAACGCGTCGTATGAATAGCTCGAGGGGAATAACGGTATAGCTGATCGAAAAGCAGAAATTATTCTCAAATTTTATCATCAACTTCTATAAATACGAACAACAAATATTTTACTACTTCCTTTTTTGCGAAACGATATTTTTATTTCTGAATTTCATTTTACAGAGTATTATTTCTGTAACAGAGAGATCAGCACGACAGAGACGTTGTGTGAATTTGTATGAATGACGTCGCATGTCACGCATTTCTCTTTCTTTGTATAAGAAAAAGAAAACAGTTACAATTTAGCGACTAATCCAGAAATATGTAGTAAATTAACAGAGTTCTCGCGTAATCCCACGTGTTCTTTTAATTCTCCATATTCATGAATGGAAAATATGAATGGTAACGTATTATTCAACTCGGTACTCGTGTGACACCTCGACTGCAGGGAAATCAGGAAAACACGGTGATTTATTTGTACAGTGCGAATAGCAGTACATTAGAGTATTTCGGCGTAGTTTGGGCTGTTATGATCGTTAGTACCATAGTTCTCCCAGAGGAACCCTGAAAACTTGTGCGCGTCACTGAATTATCACCTCCGCTGTTTCATCTAAATTGCGCCGCTGTTTTGAATTCGCTTGTAGATTTTCAAAAGTATTTTTCGAAAACTTCGACAGGGATTTACGAAATTTTCTATCGGCGAATAGATCAGCACGATTGGTAGCGCGAGCGTGAATAAGAATCGATTCCAAGCGCGACCGTGGTGCTAAACCACAAGAGGGATTTCGTCGGGAAACTGCGAACGCCCGCTATTCACGAAAATGGAAACGTCAACGATGTATCCGCAAATCGAGCAGAGTTCTTTTAGCGAGAGGCCGAATGCCGGGTAATTCAGTGGCGCTGAATGGAAAATTCTGGAAAACAAGTCTGCTTCGCAACGAAGACCGGTGAAGTTCTATCAGGCAAATCTGCCGTGTATTTTTTTCTTTATTTTTTTTTTTTCTGTTAAGTTTCTCGTAACAT